AGGACCGCGACAGAGGAAGGAGAGGCACGGGGGGCGTAGTGGCGTGAGTCGCAATGACCGGTCCCGAGGAGGGATCTTCAAGTGCTATAGAGACTGGCGCCGGCAGTGGAGAGAGAGATTCGTGCGGTCGCGGAAGTAACAATGCGTCGCTCCGGAGTCTAGTGTGAACGAGAGAGACGCGTCCGCCGAAGGAGGACCTGTACTACTAGCTAAACAAGATCCTACACTAGCACCTACTCTAACAGCAGGCAAAGATCCTACGCTAGGTACAGGCAAGTACACAGAGAGGATCTTTGCTATAGTACAGCAGCACTATAGTCAAACAGAGATGCCACGAGCAAGAAGTGTCCCCCAGCGTGGCGGTGGGGGAGCAGAGGGGCCGTGGTGCAAGCGGTAGAGGTCGTCGAGACGACTGAAGCAGCGTGCAGCAGAGTGGTCAGGGCGGCCACAGTACGAGTCCCTACGTGGACCCGTAAGGATCCAGTACTCACAGGGACCAACGTCGCGGCCAGCCGAGCGAGGTCCCCAGCTGGAGGGGGCGTCGCAGCGCCCAGTGCTCGGGGGACCCGCGGACCTCCACTGCTGCGGAGGGCCCCACGGCTGGGGCTGCTGCTGCGGTGGGCGCTGCTGCTGGCCCTGTCGCTGCTGCTGCTGTCCCTGCCGCCGCTGCTGTCTAGGCGGTGGCAGCTGCTGGGAAGCCGGCTGCTGCTGCTGCTGAAACCCCTCACCACTAGTGAAAACGCCACCCTCGAGAGGAGGGCCGTCAGGTCCCGAGCCACCCCCACCACCACTCCCACCACCTGCTCCACCGCCACCGCCACCACCCGCACCACCTGCAGTACCCCCGCTGCCCTTCTTACCGCCCTTGCCACGTTTCTGTCCGCCAGAGACAGAAACAGCCGCCGTCTCCTCAGAGGCAGAAGACGTGGGGGTGGCAAGTGAGGCAGTGAAGGTGGGAAGCTGCGGCACCGCACACCCCTCAAAAAGACGAGGAGAAGGCGTGGAAAAGGCAGAGGCAACAGTGAGGAGGTTACTCTCGATCTTCGAGAGCGTAGTCTCAAGAAGATCGATAGTAAGCTCAGTGGGGTGCTGCAGAAGAAGCGCGTCGCGGGCTGTGGCTAGGCGGTCAGGGAGGCGAGTGACTAGCCAGTGAATAGTGAGCCACATAGGGGGCGAAACTGAGAGAGCGCGGCTGCCAGCCGCGGGAGGGTGAGGCAGTGAGTGGCGGGTGGCAGGCGCGCAGGCGGGCTGGCGGGCGTGCGGTCTGATAGGTGCGCAGGCGAGCCGGGCAGTGCGCTGGCGGGCTGGCGGCGCGGCGCGCTGGCGGGTAGGCGGCGCGGCACGCTGGCTAGCGGGCGGCGCGGCGCGCTAGCATGCGCGCTGGCGGGCGCGCTGGCGGGCGCGCTGGCGTGCGCACTGGCAGACGCGCTGGCGGGTGCGCTGGCGGGCGCGTTGGCGTGCGTGCTGGCGGGCGTGCTGGCGTGCGCGCTGGCGTGCGTGCTGGCGGCCGTGCTGGCGGGCACGCTGGCGGCCGCGCTGGCGGGCACGCTGGCGTGGCGCGCTGGCGTGCGCGCTGGCGGGGCGCGCTGGCGTGCGCGCTGGCGGGTGCGCTGGCGTGCGCGCTGGCGGGCGCACTGGCGTGCGTGTGGGCTGACTGGCGTGCTGGCGGGCTGCTAGGTTAGCGCGCTGGTGGGCTGCTAGGTTAGCGCGCTGGGAGGGCGTGAGAGAGGGAGGGGCCGGCGGGCTGGCGTGGAAATAACGAGCAACGGGCGGTAGGAGTGGCATGCTAGGAACGGCCTAGGAACATGGAACCTACTACTGATACCATCTCAGAAACGAACTACAGCAGAATGAGTTGCATTGAATGGATTGGGGTACACATTTCCTAACCCTAACTGTTTGTACCCCCTACTGCACAACCCACTAACGGCTAGAACATTTGACACCTGTAGTGAGGTTTGTCATAAGGGGTACAAATGTTAGGGTTTGCTATATGTACCCCAACCCACATCAATACACCAAAACTTCTGTTCTTGACATGGTATCACCTAGGTTAGGATCCTGTGGGATCCCGCTCCTCCCGTCCTCGTTCGTTTCGCCCGAGCCTGTCTCACTCTGTCGTACTAGTTACGCACGTCTTGCCCGAGCCTAGCGCCGGCCTGATCTAGTCGCGTTCATTCGTTACCGCTCGTTCCGCCGACCCACTCTTTTCCGGTAGTGTAGCGACCTCCCCCCCCCTCGCCGCCCGTCGCGTTTTCCCCCCTTGCTGCCCGTCGAGTCGCGCTTTCCCCCTGCTGCCCGTCGAAACGCGCCTTTCCCCCGCTGCCTGTCGCGTCGCGCCTTCCCCTGCCCCCCGTCGTGTCGCGCTCTCCCCGCTTCTCGTCCCGCCGTGCCCTCCCCCGCTGCTCGTCGCGACTCGCCCTCCCCCCGCTGCCCTAAACGCCCGTTCGCGCGCTGTGCCTGCCGCCGCGCTTGCCTGTTCGGCCCGCCGCGGGCCTGCTCGTCCCGCAGCCGCGTCTATTCGCGCCGCCCACCGCCGCGCCCACGCGTCAGGCCCGCCGCAGGCCCGCACGTCCTGCCGCCGCGCCTACCCCTCCTGCCCGCCGTCGCGCCTCCTCGTTAGGCCCGTAGCGGGCCCGCTCGTCCTGCCGCCGTGCCTACCCCTCCTGCCCACCAACGTGTCTCCTAGTTAGGCCCGCAGTGGACTCGCTCTTTCCACCGCTGCGCCTACTAGTTCAGTCCACCGCGGAACCACCCCTTCCGCCTGTCACGCCTCCGTTCTACACCTGCCACGGACTTGCCCTAGCCGCCCTACCAGTGTCGCGCGTAGCCGGACTGGTCGTTTCTGCTTACCCTATGGCGACCCCTAGGGTTCTTTGCTTTGACGCTGACGGTAGACCGCTCGAGTTTCCGGTCTGGCTCCTACGCGCGCGTCGCCTTTTAGAGAGTCAGGTCCAGGCAGGCGAGTCCCTCTGGGCGCACGCTACTGGTGACCTTCCTGCGCCCGACGACCCTACGCCTTTAGGCCCTACCCCTGACGACGCCGCCAGAGACCGCTTTGCCCGCCAGCGTGCTGACCTGACGGCGTGGAAGTCGCGTGACGCTGCGGCCTGCATCGCTCTCAGCAGCCTCCTCCCTGAGTCTGAGGAGGCCCACTTCACTCAGGTTCGCACTGCTAGTGAGTTCCTGACTGCGATCAAGGCCCACTACGCTACTCCCACCACTATCTCTCTTGGCCGCATCTTCCTACCGTTCTTGTTCCCTGACCTCGCCTCGTTTGAGCGCTCTGCTGACTTGATTGCTCACCTCCGCTCGCTCGATTCTAGCTACCGCGCTGCTTGCACTGAGGCACAGCTTGCACTGCTTCCCCCTCCTATGGCGATTACTATCTACTTCATCGCCACTAGCCTCCCTGACCGCCTTGCCTCATTTCGTGACGCGCTTCTCCTGAAGCACCCTAGTGAGCTCACTATCGAGGTCCTTGAGTCTGCGCTCAAGGACGTCGAGAGCAACCTCTGCTCCGTAGCCTTTGCCTCTGGTGCTGTGCCCCCTCCACTGTTTCACGGGTGCACTGTCCCTCAGATGCCCACTTTTCTGCCTCACTAGCCACTGCCACTACTGACCTGACCGCAGCTGTTGTTACGACTTCTTCGCGGTCTCAAGGTAGGGGTGGCAGGAGGGGCGGTCCGGGTGCAGGCGGCGGCGGCGGTGGCGGCGTTGGCGGCGGAGGTGGTGGGGGTGGCGTGCCGACAGGTGGCGGCGGGAGCGCAGGACCTGGAGAGGCGTCTCGTGCAGCGGCCAGTGACTCCCCTACTGCAGCTGGTGGAGGCGACACCCGGACTCGTCAGCCTCCTCCTAGTCTGCCGGCCGCGGTGGGTGGAGCAGCGGCGTGGTACCTGGCCCAGCGGCAGCAGCAGCTGCAGCAGCAGCAGCCCCTCCCCTTACAGCAGCCCCGGTAGCAGCAGCGGCAACACCAGGTTTCGGGGCCAGGACAGCGTTAGTCCCGGCGAGGTGTTGTTCACCCTCCGTGCACCTATCACGTTCTGACAGGTGCTCGCCGAGGCCAGCCTTGTGGCCGCACCCCCCCTCTTGGTCAGTGCTTTGCTCAGCTCACTGACACGGTTCGTTTGGCCTTCGGCGTTGGCGGCCCTGCCCCTGACTGGTTTCCTCTTGATCAGACGCACGGCTCCGCCCTTTGGGGCATGTCGGCTTCTCAGTTGCTTGATCTCTTAGGAACTCCTCATGCTATGTATGCTGTTGTTGACTCTAGTGCTTCTGACTCTGTTTACTCGAGTGTTGTTAGCTTAGGTGCTAGTCTTGCTGACTTACCTGTTGCTAGTGTAGGCACTTGTGTAGGCACTAGTCCGAGCGCTACTTCGGAGGACGCTTCACTGTCTTTCACTTTGGACTCTAGGGCTTCGCACTGCTTCTTCCGCAACCACACGACACTTACTCCACTTCCTGCGCTAGTCTCTGTGGCACTGGCTGATCCCACCTCGGGACCAGTCACTGCTCGCTACACTACTACTCTTCCGTGCCCTGCTGTTCCCTCTGGGTCTCTGACTGGCTTCCACGTCCCCTCGTTCTCGAGGAACTTGGTGGGCGTGAGGCCTCTTGTGAGTCAGCACGTGGGTGTGTGGATTGAGCCCTCTGGTGAGATGGCGGTTTGTGTTGACTGCGACACTTACTCGCCTCTTGCCACCTTTAGTGCCGAGCCGGGCTCTGGTCTCTACACACTTCACACTGGCCCTGGTGGGCAGCAGCAGCAGCAGCAGCCGCAGCCGCAGCAGCAGCAGCAACTCCTGCCCCCGGCCCCGGTTACTTCCCCCAGTCTGGTCCCTGCGTCTCACCAGGTTGGTGCGTCCCCTCAGGTAGCTGTGACTGGTTAGGTTCCCGTGTCTGGTCCAGTTGCTGCATCGTGCTCCTGCCGGTCACTTGCCCACCCCACCGTTCTGTGGCACCACCGGATGGGGCACCCGTCCCTTCCTCGTCTGCGCGCTATGTCTCGTCAGCGTCTTGTCTTAGGCCTCCCGCGTGTCTTGCCGTCGCTGCCGCCTTCGCTTGCGCCGCCGTGCGGTCCCTGCGTCGAGGGTCGGCTGCGCGCCACCCCTCACTCCTCCTCCCTTCATCCGGCCACCGAGCCTTTTGAGACGCTCCACTTGGACGTCTGGGGCCCCGCCTCTCGCCTTGGCCCTGAGCGTGAGCGTTTCTTTCTGGTGGTCGTTGACGACTACTCCCGCTACACCACAGTGTTCCCCCTGGCGAAGAAGTCTGAGGTGACTTCTACGCTGATCAGGTGGTTGCTTACCACTGAGGACACTCGTGGTCGTCGTGTCAGCTGTCTTCACTCCGACCGCGGGGGTGAGTTTTGCTCCGGCATTCTCGCTGGATTCTGTCGCGAGCAGGGCATTCGTCAGTCCTGGACGCTTCCAGAGTCCCCACAGCAGAATGGGGTTGCTGAGCGCCGCATAGGCTTGGTCATGGAGATCGCCCGCACCTCCTTGACTCACGCCCGTGCCCCCCATTTTCTGTGGCCCTACGCGGTTCGGTACGCCGCTCACCAGCTGAACCTCTGGCCACGCGTCTCTCGGCCAGAGGCTTCACCGACCAGTCTTTGGACCAGGTCCCCTGGTGTTGCGTCGCGGTTTCGTGTCTGGGGTTGCTTGGCTCTTGTCCGCGACACCTCCGCAGACAAGCTCTCGCCTCGCGCCGTTCCTTGTGTCTTCCTTGGTTTCCCAGAGGACTCCTCTGACTACACCTTTTACCACCCTCCCTCTCACCGGTTCTTTGACTCCCGTGACGTCCGTTTCGAGGAGTCCACCCCCTACTACGTCAGGTACCCCAGTCGAGGTCTCCCGGTTCCTCCTCCCCCTCTCTTCCTGACTTCCGCTCCCCCTCCTGCTCCCCCGGTACAGCCTTCCCCCCCTGGTCTAGCCCCGTCAGGTGTGTCACAGGCTACTCCTCCCTTTTTGGTAGCCCCTCAGGTCTAGCCTCCTTCCCCGCAGTCCTCCTCGCAGCCTGCTGCAGACCCTGCGGGAGCCGGTGTTCGTGGAGACGGCCCTGCAGGTGCTAGCTCTAGAGGGGTTGGTGGTGAGAGCGTCCCTGTGCCGGTTTCTAGTTCTGGGGGTGCTGGAGTTGGAGCTGAGCCCGTGGTTGCAGGAGACTCGTGTCTTCCGGGAGCTGGTGTTGGTCGCGCTGACTCTGGGGGTGCTACGTCTGGGGGTGCGGGTGCGCCCCCTTCGGGTCCTGGTGAGCCTGACGGTGTTGCTGTTGGTGCTGACTCTGGGGGTGGTGCGCCATGTGCTTTGGAGGCCGGTCCTGGGACTGCCGCAGCCCCGGACACTACTCCTCCCCCCCACCCCAATCCGACCCGGCTCCAGGCTCGTGTTCGCCGTGCCCGTGAGGAGCAGCTGGAGTTGGAGAGAGAGGAGCGAGAGTTGCAGCAGCAGCAGCAGCAGCAGCAGCCGGAGCAGCAGCAGCTGGAGCCGCCGCAGCAGCAGGAGGTATAGCAGCAGCCGCAGCAGCAGCAGCAGCAGCCGCCTCCTCCTCCTGTCTCGGGTCTTCGGACCCTCGGTCTCCCCTCTCCCTCTCCTTCCTCCTCCCCCTCTCCTCCCGTCTCTGGTCCTCCGCTTCCTCCTCCTGACCCCTCCCCAGCTGTTTTCCCTCGTTCTCAGCCTCCGTTGTCCCCTCCTCCTTCTCAGACTTGGCCTTCTCGTCGCTCTCCTCGTGCTCGTCCCTCGTCCCCTGTTCCCGTCACTGACCTTCGTACTGCCCTCTTTCGTTCTAGTCCGCCTCGTTCGTCTCCGTCTGTGCTTCCGTCTCCTCCTGAGTCGGCCCTCACTGCTTCCCTCTCTACTCCTGTCACTAACCACTACCGCACGTACCGTCCTGTTCTCTCTCGTGTTCTCGCCTTTCTTCTTACCAACCCTCGTGCCTCTGTGTCCTCTGTGTCTGCTCTTACTGCCGCAGTCACTGAGTTTGCCTCTACTCGCCGCCTTGACTACGCCACCAGTCTTGTGGCTGCTCCTCCTACCAGTCCTCTGGCCGTCGGGGGTGAGTCTGCCCTTGGCTGTGACGCCCTAGAGGACAGGCAGTTTGAGCTAGAGTTCCTGGCAGCCGCTTCCCCTCATCTCTATGCCATGCTGCTCGCCCCTGAGGGAGACCCCGACGCCCTTGACATACCAACTCCTCGCACTTACGCTGAGGTAGTGTCAGGGCCTTGGGCCTCTCAGTGGAGAGCTGCCATGGACGCAGAGATGGCCTCCTACAGATCCACAGGCACCTACGTCGACGAGGTTCCCCTCCCTAGGGCGAACGTAGTCGATGGCATGTGGATCTATAGGGTGAAGCAGCAACCGAGATCTCCTCCGGTCTTCAAGGCACGCTACGTGGCTAGAGATTTCAGTCAGCGCGATGGAGTTGACTTCTTTCAGACCTTCGCGCCTACCCCGAAGATGACCACTCTTTGGGTGTTACTGCACGTAGCAGCACAGAGAGACTACGAGTTACACTCTCTCGACTTCTCCACTGCTTTCCTTCAGGGTAGCCTTCACGAGGAGGTCTGGCTACGTCGTCCCTCTGCCTTCACTGGCACTTTCCCTCCTGTGACCAAGTGGAGGCTGAGGCGACCTGTCTACGGTCTTCGTCAGGCTCCTCGTGAGTGGCACGACACTCTTCGTTCTACCCTTTCAGACCTTAGGTTCCAGCCGTCTTCTGCCGACCCGTCGCTGTTCGTTCGTCGTGGCTCCACACCGTTCTTTGTCCTTGTCTACGTCGACGACCTCGTTTTCGCCACTCCTGACAGGTTTGCCTTGGCAGACGTGAAGTTCGAACTGCAGAAGAGACACACGTGCACTGACCTTGGTGAGCTGCGCCACTACCTTGGCCTGCAGATCACCAGGGACAGAGCTGCTCGCACCATTACGTTCTCAGGGTCACACATGGTGCAGCAGGTCCTTCAGCGGTTCGAGCTTCAACACTCCACAGTACAGCGCACACCTCTTGCTGTTGACCACAGACTTACTGGACCCTTTCCTGACGAGCCGTTTGAGTCCAGTGAACCCTACGCAGAGCTGGTGGGCTGCCTCATGTACCTGATGACTTGTACTCGCTCGGACCTCGCCTTCCCTCTCAGCATCCTTGCGCGCTTTGTTGCGCCAAGGAGACACCGTCCTGTTCACTGGACGGCGGCTGTGAGGGTGGCGAAGTACCTAGCGACGACATCAGGCGTGGGGCTAGTTCTTGGAGGGCAGCAGTCTGTCGTACTTACTGGTCACTGTGACTCTTCTTACGCTGACGACGCTGAGACTCACAGGTCTACTTTGGGGTACTGTTCCAGAGTTTTGGAGCTTTTTCTGTTAAACAGGCTAGGCGAAAACGAGAAACAGGCAAAGAGGGATTTCACTAGCAAGCAGTTGAGTACATATAGGAAACCCTAATTTGGGTTGTACTCGCTATAGAGTACCCCACTGCAGGCTAGACAAACATCACATTCTGACAGTTTCTTGGAGGTCCACGCGCTCCTCTTCGGTCTCGACCTCTACAGCTGAGGCTGAGAACTACGTGTCAGAGGTCCACTGGAGATCCCCGATGATCCTAGGGAAGGGTTACAGGCCCGTTGGCCTTGGGGGTTATGGGCGCACTCACCCGCTACATAAACAAGCCCTTCTATCCCAGTGGTTAGTGGCTGGGATTCTGACATGGTATCAGAGCGAAGGTCTCGGGTTCGATTCCCGGTGTGTGCACTTCGGGCATCCCAGTGCGGGGGGGGTGTCAGAGGTCCACTGGAGATCCCCGATGATCCTAGGGAAGGGGGTTATGGGCGCACTCACCCGCTATATAAATAAGCCCTTTTATCCCAGTGGTTAGTGACTGGGATTCTGACACTACGCTGGTGCCATGGCGGCACAGGAGCTGCGTTGGTTGACGTTCCTGCTCGCCGACCTTGGTGAGTGGCCGAGCTCTGCACCGACCTTGTTCACTGACAACAAGGCGACGATTCTCCTCTGTCGAGAGCCTCAACTGGAGAGGAGAGCGAAGCACATTAACGTCAGGTACTTTCTTCTGCGAGAGTTGCAGAGACGTGGACAGGCTCGCTTCGAGTTTGTGGAGTCTGAGGCCAACACTGCAGACATCTTCACCAAGGTGCTTCCGCCTTGTGACCACCAGAGGTGTTGTGTGCAGTTAGGCCTTGCTGACACAATTTCTAGTTGTGTATAGGCTTGAGTTTACTGTTTGCTTTGCTTGTCTTCTTGCTATACACACTTGTGAACTCTTGGACTGGCCTTCTGACCCCTGCTGCTTGTGCTCGAAGTGTGTGGTGACGTTGTGATCCACCCTGAGCTTTGTTTCTTTGTGACTGGTCTTGTGACCGTACACTTATGGTTTTTGCTTGACACCCCTCACTTAGGCTATGGGGGTGTGTCAAATGTTGTAGCCTGTAGTGAGGTTTGTCATAGAAGGTACAGATGTTAGGGTTTGCTATATGTACCCCAACCCACATCAATGAACCAACACTTCTGTTCTTGACACAAACACTATACCATAACCCTGCGCTTACAATCTACCATAGTAGCAAATACAAAGGCGGGGGTGCACATGTTACAAGCACATGAATTTAACATACAAGTACAGTTTACACCCAGTGGTCCAGGCACCTGGTGGAGTCCCTTCCATGGCTCTTATCGGTAGTTTAAAACACAAGGACAACGAGCTACTGGTAGTTAGTGACCTCAAGTGGAAGTGAGGAAAACACCCACCAATGACGACAGAAACTGACCAATCCACAGCAAGCACGTGCATGGATCAAAACGGTCGGTGAGGGTTCAAATCATTCACTGAACTTGTATTTGACGGATCTAGAAATCTCAGACGCCAAAAGTCGGTCATGCGTGTCACTGCTTTCACCCATACCCTGAACGCACACAGTTGGAAGTCATGAAAGTCATGAGACGGGGAAGTTGGGAACCAGATTAGGACACACGAAAAACAGACAAACAAAAAAGCACAATGCAGTACCTTGATGAGTTTTTGGCTCTTCCTGAAATCCATGAAATGATTAATATGATGGATGATGGCCTGCTTTGTCCGTTCCGCCCCAACACGGTCAACAGCCTTCAACACTCGCAGGAGGGAGCGCTCTTCCACATCGATTGCCGCTAGCTGCCGGTCCAGCTTGTCTGCCAGATCAGCAACATCAAACTTATGTGCCGCTTCCAGCAGTGGAAGCCCATGTTGCTGTTGGTTGAAGGGAACATAACAATTTAGGTGAAAAAAACGTGAGAACAATGGAAAGGAGAATTTGCAGAACTGAAATTACAGCATACGCTTGCTTGGAAACATATTTCCATGCCAAGAGGGGCGCACTCTAAAGACCGCGGTTGCAATTACCTTGAGAGCAGCTACATTGGGAGTCATGTCGAAGCCGTACATGAAGGCGAGGAGCAGCCTCATGGTGTGACCATCCACATCCGCCAGCTTGAACACCTGATCCCTCTCATCCGCTGCATCCTCTAGCATCGACTCCAGCACTGTCGACCTGAAGAGAAGCGAACAGAAGAGAGGTGAGAAACAAAAGACTTTGCACTGCAGAGTTAAGAAGTTTGACACATGATGGTCTACGATGTTTCCAGAATGGCATAAGTCACATGTTACCATAATGTTACAATGTTGCGGTGCGCACGGATCTTGGTCCCATCAGCAGCCTCAAAAACCACATCCGTAAACTTCTCTCGCTCAAATAGGTCCTTTAGCTTTGCAGCGAGGCGTGCCAGCTCAGCATGCCTGAAATTGTGTACCGCACAGGAGAAGATCATACTTACCAAAGGACTGAATTCATTGGTACAGTAACAGATATAAGACTGTAGTTGATGAGCAAGGCACGATTAAGTACCAGTAAGACTTTGATTAAGTAATCTTGCGCCGTATGAATTCCACCACCAGTTTTGTACACAGACCCACCTGTTCGTCTCCGGAAATTGATTGCTTCTGAAGGCTCCTGGCCTGTACAGGTTAACATGAGTGCGGAAATGGGAACAAGGCAGCAGGTAGAAGCAAGGACATGCAGACATGCCACTATGATCTTATCAGCATAACTGGATAGAATCCATTCCCTGTGAAAACGGTGTGGTAGAATATTGATGTGAACTTTAAGGAATAAAAAGTGCTCACAATAAAGCAGAGAAAGGCTTACCGTGGTGGGCCATGTGAGCCATAGTATCCACCGCACAGATGAATCACGGGAGAAAGGAATAAGTTGGAACGTCAAGGGAACAAGCGATAAGAAGCTTATGATTTCGTGTGATGTAAGATCTCTTCAGGAAGCGGGAAAGTGGGAAGAGGACTTGCTCACTGGTAGTAGGAATTTCGTGCTGCCATTTTCCCAGCCACTCTGAAGTAGTGGTCCCACCGGTGAACGCTCGAGCGGAAGAATCGACTAGCCCTGACCCGAATGTTTCGAGTAATCAAACCGCAGCTAGGGCGTTCTAGGAATCATACTGAATTCGACCATCCCCACACGTGAGGCAGATGGACTCGCGGGCGTGAAACGGGATTGTTACCGCGGGAATTCGAATCTCGCCAGCGTCGGACAATGGAAGTTGCTCGAGAGCTGCCGAGCTGGCAAACGAGACTATCGAAATTCGACCCGCAAGCAGCTGGCGACGCTGCGATGCCGCCGATACGATGCTGCCGCTTTCTGGCTAAGGGTTACCAGCTGACGCTGGCGCTCATATGAACCTTTGAATTCTGATAAAATCGAGCGGCAGTCGCGCCGTGCCACCTGCGTGAAACTGCTCATCTCGTGACGGTTTAGATGTGCATGCTGCTTTGGCGCTGCCGCAGCGCCATGATTCCTCGTTCTAAGTGAAGCTAGGGCGTGGTAAGACAAAGGCGTGCCTGGTTGTTGAAACCTAGGGCCAAAATCACTGCGGTGAATGTCACACATCCGCACACCTCGTTTTGCTACTCATGTAGCGATGTTACCAACCACGTCACCCGCTCAAATCCTGATCCCGAACGAGCCCTAATGTAGAATAGCAGAGTCCTTTCCCAACCATTTTCGCTTTTGATCGTACGTAGCCTTCTTGAATTGCATTCCACTTTCAGGACACGCCCTGCTCCAGTCCTAGAGCCACTTCGATCGCTTGGAACATTTCCTCGTGCGTCAATTAGGGCGCGTGTCTTTTGGTGTAGATTGTCAAAGTTCGAGCCTAGTACCGCTTTGTAACGTGGCGACACGTCTCTTAACCGTATTTTATCGCGTACAACCTTTCTAAAAGTTCAACTTTTGGCCAAAGTTCAACCTCAAGGACACGCGCCCTTACGACTTAGGCACCCGCCTCACTCGGGCGCGCGGAACATTCAAGCTCGCGTCATTCGCGCCAGCCTGTCGCTCGCATCATATTCGCTCCTGCCTGTCGCCCTACTTTCCCCGCCGCCCCTCGCTCCGCGTCGCCGTCGCCCTCGCTTCCCCTGGCCCGTCGGCCTCGAATCCCCTTTTTAGCTTCCCCCCGTCGTGCTCACTTCCCAGGCAGACTCACCCATATCCAGGAGATGACGAGGTGAGGATAATTCAGGGTAGCGCGAACTACGAGTCAAAAACCTTTTCCAGCTGTAGCGCCTATAGCACGTACAGCAGCGGCCATGGTTCGCAAGGTGGTGCGCGGGCGCGTCGAGCCGCTCGCCGCCGTCGTCTCCCCGCAGCAGGCGGCGGCGGCAGCGGCGCGCATATCGCGGTCGTTGGAGGAGGAGCGCGGCAACGCGGACCGCCTGTGGCGATTCAAGCAGGAGAACGCGGAGCTCTGCACGCTCGTGCGCGCGCTACCCGACAAAACGAGCCACGCTGTCATGGTGCGTGCGTGGCAGGAACCCTCGCTGAACGTATGAGCCACGTGTCCCAGGACCCATGCCCCAGCCATTTGGCAAAACGAGGGATTTCCAGAGGTCGCAGCAGTGCGAATCTAATCCGTGGCGTCAGTCCGCCGTAGCACGTACGATGGTTGGCCCTTTTGACGAGCTAAATGAGTTGCTTGCACGTGTGAACCTGTTCTCGCATCAGGTCCCCGTGGGTTGAGTCCTCGTCCCGCACACCACGAGCTCACGGTGCTGCTGGGCAAACCACTCCTGCTGATGGCGACTGGCAACACGCGCTGTCGCCCCACCCTCCCTCATTCATCCACCTTCTCTGCTCCCCTTGCTCTCCCCTCTGCTGGACGGCGGTATCCACGCCGAGAGGCCAGCCCACCAGGTGCTGCTGGGGTTGTTCCGCATTGGCACAATGCTCAGTGTGCTCCACGCACTCTCCCTCCCATGCGCCTGGGTGTGCTCATCCCATCCCATCAGTTTCTATTCGGCCGGGCACCTGATCCACACCAAGTTACTAACCACCTCAACCTCGTGCCTGCACGCTCAGCGCGCAGGGCTCTTTGTGCCGCACTCTCTCAGGTTCCACTCTCTCAGGTTCCATTCAGCCCAGCGCCCTTCTTCCTCGGCCGCCTGCTGCACCCTCCTGCTGGGCGACGGGCTCTACGTTGAGCGGTCTGCCTCCCACACATAGTGTGTGCTGTGCTCCTCCCATCCCACCAGGTGCCATTCGGGAGGGCCGCCTTCTTCCCCGGTCGCCTCGTGCACACCAACGAGCTCACCCTCCTGCTGGGCGACGGGCTCTACGCTGAGCGTTCCGCCTCCCAGGCGCTGGGGGTGCTGCGGCGACGTGGCGCGATGATAGAGCGCCAGCTGGAGGGGTGCCAGGCGAAGGTGGAGGACCTACGTGGCGAGCTGCGATTCGCTGAGCAGGCTGGGGCGGATGCTGAGGTGAGAGAGGAGCGGGAAGGAGGAGGTAATGTGAGGGCGAATGGGGGAGGATGGGAGGGGGAGGAGGAAATGGAGGGAGTGGTGAGGGGGATTGTGTGGGGGGAAGGCGGTGGGGGGGAGGGGGGGCGAGGGGGGGTAAGCAAGGGTTCATCCGCTGGTTCCCAGGACTGTGGGACTCTGGAATCCAATAGGCACCATTTTCAGTACGTTAGATAGAAATAGAGTGAGTGAATACCTCGGCGGGCACAAAGGACTGCCAAATGCCCAAATATCCAAACATCAAACCAAATCAAGATTGTGATGAGCGAATCCGTTCAAATGTTATGCTTGGCTTGACCCAGTTTACGTCATAATCAACGTAAACCTCCAATCCAATCACTGTTTTCGAGGCGGCTCGGCCAGCCGCGACGAACATGTTCGACCCGAACACTTGGCCAAAGAAAAGAACTGTTCAAGGCGAACCGAACAGGTGTTCGTCCTTGTGCTCAAGCCTAAATAACTAAAACGCACGCTTTCCCCACACTGCCCCGATCTATGCTGTCGGTCCTCGCGGCCCTTGCACTTTCTGGACACGCCTCCATTGCTTTCTCACGTCCCCACCTGCCACTCCCGGCATCTTCTTCTCCTTTGCTCCCTTGGCTTCCTCTCTCCTCACACGCTCTTTCTCTCACACACTGAGGCACAACAGGAGGGGTGTGTGGAAATCCACGAGTATGAGGAGGAGGTGGAGGGGGGCGAGCAGGAGGAGGAGGGAGGAAAGGAGGAAGGAGCACGACGAGGGGAGGAAAAAAATAGCGATTCAAAGGGGGGGGCGGCAGCAGGGGATCCGTTGAGAGTGGTTGGGATGTCCAGAGAAGCGGATGGTGGGGGTGGTGGTGAGGACGAGGAGGAGCGGCGCATTGACGCCCTGTTCGCCGAGATGGAAGCTGCTGAGGCTGCTGCTGGGGATGATGATGAGGAGGAAGAGGAGGAAAGTGAAGAGGAAGAGGAGGAAGATGAGGATGATGAGGGTGAGGATGAGGAGGGTGAGGAGGAAGGGGGAGAGGAAGAGGAGGAATGGGAGGAAGAGGAGGAAGACGATGAGGATGAGGAGGAAGAGGGGAGGGGGGAACAAGAGAGAAGGCCAGAAGCACCAACTGATAGGAAGGTGATGGAGGGCGTGTCGGCAGTGAGGATAGGTGCAGTGGGAGGGCCGCTGGGGAAGGCGATGGGGGGAATAAGAGCAGCAGCGAGGCAGGGAATCCCCCCTTCACACGAGCTAGTGCAGGGCATGTCAGCAGTGCGGATAGGTGTTGCAGTGGGAGGGCTGCAGGGGCAGTCGGTGGAGGGAGGCCGAGGGGAGGCGCAGCAGGGAATCCCCCCCCCACAGGCGGAGCGGAGGGAGGTGGGCCCATCAGCCAGTCAGCTCAAGGTGAGCCTCAAATGCGTGAGCCTGTTGAAACGAGTGCAGTGTCTGACTGTTATTTGCGAGTGGTACCTGATTTCATGTTTGCTCTCAACTGATAACGGATCCAGCACGGGTAAGCGCACATTACACTCATTGAAGGTGAACAATCCAACTTGATCTCGGGCTCAGCTTCAGTGCTAATGTTCTTTTCATTTTGACGGTAAAGTCTTACCAAACATCCAGCGTGCCATTCCCTTGGTAGCATACTTGTGGTCATCCTCAAGAGCATAACGGTTGGGAGTGCATCACGTGTTATTGGTGACATTCCTATTATCGTTCAGGATTTGAAATGCCCCAAACGGTAGCTCATTGCTCTGTGCTGGTAAATCCTGAGGCCCTATTTTTCTCAACTGAGAGGTTATAGTTTCTGACAAAGAGAAAATGTGTTTCGTGTTGAAGGGCACGGTTGAAGAGGGGGTTACCCGTCGTCAGGGACATGAGAAACTGTAGGCGCAGTGGGAGGGCAGCATGGTAATGCATTGGATAGAGTTAGTGAGGCAGAGGAGCAGCATGGGATGTGGGGATGTGGCGTGAGCCCTGTGTGCAAGTGATATTGGAGCCACGTAGCAAAAGACATCCAGCTCATCCCCTCACATGCATGATTTGAGGCGCCACACAACTCAAAATAGTTGAGAAACCTCCATGTTTCCACCACACTCCCTTCACTGAACATCCATGTTTCCCTGTTGCTCTGCCCACCTGCTTAATTGGCCTTTCTTCGGTGCCCTACTCTTCTTGCCCCTGCTGTTGTGTGCTGTGGTGTGGTGTGGTCATTGCAAGCAACAGGCGTTCTCAGGAGCTGTAGTGGAGCGAACCTCCGACTGCTCTGCCCCTCCACCACTCCCCGTCGTACCACCGGTAACACACTCGCCCTTCACTTGCCCCCACCGATTCTTCAGTCATGCCATGCTACTCCCCTCCCCCATTTTTTCCCTTTCTCGATCACTTGTCGTCGTGTGTTGCTGATGCTGCTGCTAGAGGGCTCGCCTGCTTGTTACAATGCTTACCTTCAAAGTTATGTGGTCATTCTTGCACCATATGAAGGATAAAGAGACATGGTTTGGAAAACAATCCTATCATCTTCTTCCTACCATCCTCCTCCCCCTTCCCCTTCATACTCGTACCCACTCCCACACATTCTATCAACCTGCTTCTCTTAATCTATATTTCGCACCCACATGTTATTCCCGTGCCCCGCATCCATCCAGGCACCATCACCAGCGAGGCCTCTCTCGCGATTCAAGCAGCGTCGTGCTGGTCAACTGTGACAAAACTTGCATTTGAGCCTGTTCTGCTCCTTCCCAGCAACCTCTCCTTTCCATCTTCCGTTTTTCCTCGTCAGTTTGCTGTGTTTCTGAGTACCGTATGTCAGCTTCGTGTTTGCGATTTGATCTGCTTGATTTCGTGGTCGCACACACAGTGCAGTGCAGCTGTACCAGTTCCATGCATGAAAACATGCCCTCCAAAGTTGCCACAACTGTAACAACATTACTGGTTGAGAAGCAAGCACCTTCCTTGCAAGCAGAATGATTGGTTCGTTCGTATCCTCACAGCAAGTAGTTTATTCATTGGCCTCCCCCTTACACGGCATGCATTTCAAGGCCTTCCCCCCCCTAATGCCTTAATACACTTCTGTGAATAAACCAAACCGAGCAACGCTTGCTAGGTTGTGGTGGCTGTGGTTGTCAAACCATCTACCGTAAACGCCCGGATATAAGACAGTGTTGAATAGTAGACAGGGGTTGTCTACTATACGGGTGTCTCTTATAAACAGGCTAGCCTCATTATAAGACACCTATTTGTGTGTACGAGATAAGACATATATGTCTTATAATCGAAACTTCAATATATTATAGCGAAAGTTGAAATAACGCGTACATTTTTACCCTTGCGAAGCGCGAATTTCTCCACGCGCTGACCCAGGACCTACCTAATTTGCCTCTGCAGGTGTTCTCCATGACGTGGCGTCCCGGGCAGTGGTTGCCGAAGTGGCACCCTCGCAACATCCACACTCATTATGAGGAACTCTTTTTCAAGAAGTACGGAAAATATTTCTAAGTAGTTTAAAAAGTTTCCATTTATAAGACTTATAAGACACCCTAAACCATCCCGTTTACAAGATAACTCAAGCATTTTTGCCCGTGTACGAGATAAGACATATATGTCTTATATCCGGGCGATGACGATATGTTATACTTGCCAATATGGGGTACAACCCCTCTAGGGTTTGCTACTTGTACCCAACCTTCTTTCAATGCATTCATTCTTGCCTAGACTTTCTAACATGGTTTCAGAGCGGTTCGTCCGTTAGGACCGGATTTTTTTTTCCTGGGCCCACCGAACGCCTTCCTGCCTGCGGTTACTGCGCTGCCCTACGGCCCGCGCCTGCCTTGCCTGCCCGTCGCGTCGCCCTAAGCCCACGCCCGGCCCCTTGACTGCCCGTCGCTTCGCCCTAAGCCCGCGCCCGGCCCCCTGCCTGCCCGTCGCGTCGCCCTAAGCCCGCGCCCGGCCCCCTGCCTGCCCGTCGCGTCGCCCTAAGCCCGAGCCCGGCCCCTTGCCTGCCCGTCGCGTCGCCCTAAGCCCGCGCCCGGCCCCCTGCCTGCCCGTCGCGTCGCCCTAAGCCCGCGCCCGGCCCCCTGCCTGCCCGTCGCGTCGCCCTAAGCCCGCGCCCGGCCCCCTGCCCTGCCCTTCTCCTGACGCGGCCCGCGCGGCACCGCTCTACCGCCTTCGCGGCCCCGCCCTGCCACCCACGTGGCCCAGCCTGGCCCCGCCTTGCCGCCGACACTGCCCCGCCCTGCAGCTGACGCGGCCTTCCTCTGCAGCCAGGTTTGCGGCCCCGCTGCCCGCCGCGCGCCTCCTTGCCACCCGTGAGTACGCTGTTGCGCCGCCTGCCTGCCTGTTGAGCTGCTGCTTCTGCTCCTACTACCAGTGCTGCTCCTGGCGGTGGCCAGATGCAGCTCCAGTGCCGTCCGCGCGAGTCTCTCACGCCCCAGCAGCTTCGTGAGTGGTACGCTAGTTGGGGTTGTGGCGGTAGCCGTCGTGGCTGTCGCCCTGGAGCTGGGCAGTCGGGAGCGTCTGGTAGTGGCCAGCTGCAGCTGCAGCGGCGTCCGCGCGAGACACTTTCGCCCCAGCAACTGCGTCAGTGGTACGCTCAGAGTAGAGGGTCTCGGAGTACCGTTCGCTGCCCGTACGTCATTCGCACAGGTGCTCGGACTGGTCAGGCTTGCGGGACGCTTGGTCACACACAGTCTCGCTGCTTCGCCCGTCTGAGCGACGCCTGGCGTACCGAGTTTGGCGACGAGGCTGAGCTCCCCACCTGGCTGGAGCTGCTTAGGCAGAGGGTAGATATCTTTGCTCTTGACTATGATGCTATTCTCACTGCCATGTATGCATTGCCTACTAGTACTGACGGTGCCTGTTACCTGTGCGTACCGCCTGACCCAGGTATAGACCCTGCTGCTCTAGGTGCTTGTGAGGCTGCTGCTCTAGGTGCTAGTGCGTCTCCTACTCTAGGTGCTGGTGAGGCTGCTGCTCTAGGTGCTAGTGCGTCTCCTGCTCTAGGTGCTGGTGAGGCTGCTGCTTCAGGTGTTGGTGAGTCTGCTCTCTCTGGTACTGCGCCTGCTGCGGTCTTGCACACCTTCACCCTTGACTCAGGAGCTTCCCGCTCCTTCTTTCGTGACTGCACCACACTCACGCCGCTTAGTCGGCCAGTTGCAGTCTCCCTGGCGGACCCCTCTGGGGGTCCTGTCCTTGCCCACTACTCCACGGTTCTGCCGTGTCCGGCCGCCCCGTCTGGCTCGCTGTCAGGTCTCTACCTCCCCTCGTTCTCTACGAACTTGGTGAGTGGAGCTGACCTCCAGGATGGCGGGGTTGACCAGTTCACTCCTGCGAGTCAGCGAGTGACTCACTGTACGTGTGCTCGGACGGGCCGACACCTGGCCACGTTTACCCGTGCGCCTGGCTCGAGTCTATACACACTGACCACCGTGTCCCCTCAGATAGCTGCGTTTGCGTCTGCGTCAGGTCAGCTTGTGGCCCCCTGCTCGTGTCACGCTTTTTCGCACCAGACCCTCCTTTGGCACCACCGCCTTGGTCACCCCTCGGTGCAGAGCCTTCATAGCATGCACCGCCGTGTCCTTGTCTCTGGTCTTCCCCGGGTTCTCCCTCCCCTCCCACCCTCGCCCGCTCCTCCCTGTCTTCCCTGTATCGAGGGGCGGCAGCGCGCCGCTCCTCACTCCTCCTCGTTCCCTCCCACAGAGGCTCCCCTACAGACTCTCCACCTGGACGTGTGGGGCCCAGCCCACGTCCGTGGACAGGGCCACGAGCGGTACTTCCTGCTGGTCGTCGACGACTACACGTGTTACACCACGGTCCCCTTGCGGTGCAAGGGGGAAGTCCCTGATGTTTTGATCCCTTGGATCCGCGCTGCCCGTCTCCAGCTCCGCGAGCGGTTCGGGACGGAGTTTCCCGTCCTGCGTCTGCACTCTGACAGAGGTGGTGAGTTCTCCTCAGACCTCTTGGCAGCCTTCTGTGCGGAGCACGGCATCCGTCAGACGTTCACGCTTCCGGCCTCTCCGCAGCAGAATGGGGTTGCTGAGCGCCGCATTGGCTTAGTCATGGAGGTCGCTCGTACCTCCATGATCCATGCGGCTGCCCCCCATTTTTTGCGGTCAGGTACGCCGCGCATCAGCTCAACCTCTGGCCCCGTGTCTCCTTACCGGAGACCTCGCCCACACTGCTGTGGACGGGGAAGGTTGGCGATGCGTCGCGTTTCCGGGTCTGGGGTGCTCGTGCCTTTGTCCGCGATACCACCGCGGACAAGCTCTCCGCCCGCGCTATTCCCTGTGTCTTCCTTGGCTTTGTCCCTGACGCGCCTGGTTGGCAGTTTTACCACCCCACCTCGCGCCGTGTCTTTGCGTCTCAGGACGTCACGTTCGACGAGTCGGTTCCCTTTTACTGTCTCTTCCCCTACCGCACTGCTCCTCTCCCCCCCCCGCCGCTCTTTCTCGCTCCAGGTGCTCCCCAGGTAGACCCCCTCCCCGCTCCCGGTCCTGCTCCTTCAGGTGTGTCTCAGGTTGACCCTCCTCCTTTGACTGCGCCGGTTGAGGACACAGGTGACTCAGGTCCTGCTGCGGGTGGTCCTGCTCGGGGTGCTACTTCTGGAGGTGCTGAGCCTGGGGTTGCTAAGCTTGGGGGTGCGGAGCCTGGGGGTACTGAGCCTGGGGGTGCGGAGCCTGGAGGTTCTGGAGCTACTGGAGGTGCTGGCGCTGGTGGCGCTGGAGCTGGAGGTTCTGGAGCTGCTGAGGGTGCTGGCGCTGGAGGTTCTGGAGCTACTGGAGGTGCTGGCGCTGGTAGTACTAGCGCTGGAGTTTCTGGTGCTACTAGAGGTGCTGGCGCTGGTGGCGCTGGAGCTGGAGGTTCTGGAGCTACTGAGGGTGCTGGCGCTGGAGGTTCTGGAGCTACTGGAGGTACTCGCGCTGAGGGTGCTGGTGCTGGAGGTTCTGGAGCTGCTGCGGGTGCTGGCGCTGAGGGTTCTGAGTCTGCTGTTGCGCCGTCCTCTTGGAGTAGCCGCCTTCGTCCGCGTGTGCCTCTCACGTCACAGCAGCTCCACGACTGGTACGGTCGCCGTCAGGGTCGCGCTTCTGGAGCTCGGAGTTCTGCCGCTGGAGGTGCTGCTGCTGACGTTGCTGGAGCTGGGAGTGGTGCTGGTCCTTTGCCTACTGACGGTGCTGGAGTTGCTGGTCCCGAAGGTGCTCGTACTGGAGGTACTGGAGCTGCTGGGGCTGGAGGTGCTGAGCCTGCGGGTGTAAATGCTGGAGACACTGCGGCTGGAGACCCTGGGTCTGGGGGTGCTGCTGCTGGTGGAGCTGGTCCTGGAGGTGCTGGCGCTGGGAGTTCTGGAGCTGCTGGAGGTACTGGAGCTGCTGGTGCTGGTGGCACTGCACCCCCGCGACTGTTCTTCGCTCCACCGTCTCCGTCATCTCAGCCACCGCCTGACACTGTCCTTAGTCAGGTTCTCAGCCTCCCGTCTTCTACGTTATAGCCTGGCTCACCGCTGCCTGCTCCTTCCCCTTACACTGAGTAGGTAGTAGGTCTAACTAAGCGTTGTGAGCCTGCGTCGCGTCCTGTCTCGCCTGTTCATTCTGGTCGTACCAGTCGTCGTGTTCCTCGTCCGCGTTTGCCGGCTTTCCCTAGCGCGCACCTCTTCGCCCGTCGTCCTTTCTCTGCTCCGCAGTCTGTTCCTCTGCCGTCTCCTCCTGCGTCCTCT